CCAGACAACCTACAGACCCACCGTACTCTCTCTCCTGCTGCACAGCCTCTTACTCTATGCATAGCTTTGAGCCCTTCCCTCCTCCCAGCCATTCCCCAATCATTCCCCATTGGACTCAGCTCACATAGCACCTCCTCAGTGAGGCAGTTCTCACCTCAGACTGAATGAGTTACATGAGACAGACATCCTCCCTCACAGCCTGCTCCTCTGTACCCATTTACCACCTCTGAAACCAACTAATAATCCTATGTTTAGGGACTATCTCCCCCAACTACACTAGAACCTTTGTGGGGTCCAAGCTATCTCTGTCTCATCCACTCTCTCTGGTCCTTAATGACGAAGCCAATGTTTCGCAAGAGTCTCATGCAATATATATTGCTTGACTGATTTTCCGAACTCGTGGCTGGCTCTCTTAATGAAATAGTGAGTCAAAAAAGGAGACTAAATAATAAATGCACCAAGATTTATGCACTACTTTTGTTCAAATTATGAAGCTGCTGTGATTAATAAAATACAAACTCAATGAAAAGCTTTACTGAGGGGCACCTGGGAGCCTCACTGGGTTAAATGACTGCCTTCGGCTCAGGTTGTGATCTTTGGGGCCTGGAACGGAGCCCCGAGTCAGGCTCTGGGCTCAGTGAGGAGTATGCTTCTCCCTGTCCTTCTGCCCCCATCCCCATTCATGCTCACTCTTGCATTCTCTCTAATAAGTAAATAAAATCTTAAAAAAAGAAAAGCTCTACTAAATCCATGGTTGTTTTTAGCTATTTATTTTCTTAACCAGCCAACACCAGAAATTCATCTGCTGCATCACTATCATGTGCAGGAATCCCCCACACACACACCCAGTATTGCTAAAAGCAGTACTCAAACTCAAGCACTATTTAATAGAACAGTTCACAGAAGCCCCATAACCATGCCTACTGTAACACAGGAAACTGTTTCCCAACGTATGTCAACAAAACAAACCCTTTAGCGCCACAGAGTATGAATGAGCTGCTTTATATCAAGTTGAAAATCCTTTCACCCACTAAGCCTTTTTTTTTTTTTTTTGGCCATTCTAAGAATCCTTCAAAGTTTCAAGTTCTAATATACACAGTGAAAAGCAGACTTAATACACAAGTCCCTTCAGAGGTATTTTGAGTAGATCCTCGGTGATTTGGCTTTGTTCAAAATTTACCTGGATCTTGGGGCGCCCAGTTGGCTCAGTTGAGTGTTGGACTCTTGATTTCAGCTCAGATCATGGTCTCAGGGTTGTGAGATCCAGCCCCGCATTCAGCTCTATGCTGGGCGTGGAGCCTGCTTAAGATTCTCTCTCTCTCCCTCTCCCTCTGCCCCTTCCCTCTTTTTCTCCCCCTTTCTTAAAAAAAAAAAGGATCTGTACCCATGAGGTATTTTTGATAAGAGATCTAGACGTCTGAGCATAGTTTACAAAAGACAAATGAATACACACACAGTCACCCTTCAATCAAATGCACAACTATTTTCAAAGATGTCATTTTTTTTTCCTTATTCATTCAACCTATATTCACTGCATCCCTACTAATGTATTAGAGGAACTGTGCGAGGCATATGGAACAAAATCCCTACCCTCAAGACGCTCATGACACAGCAAATAGCACCTGAGCATTTCGCTAGTGTCATCACAGTTGCTTTGGGAAAGGACAAAGCGAAGTGCCTAAAGGTCGATCTCAGAAATGTGATGAGAGGAACAATCTAGATCATCATAGATCGACAGAGCCCACTACCCCTCAAAACCTACAGACTCTAAATGCACAGGCTTAGGAAAGCAGCAGAGGGAGTCAGATGCAGTTTATTAAACCAAATGCCATGCTCTAACTGTCCAGTGTTTCACTTTAAGTGCAAAAGAACTACAACTGCTGCCTTGTTAAACCATTATTTTTAAGCATCAGAAGCATAAAGGGCTGACTTAAATCTGTAATACTTAATAAGGCCACACACATATTGATAGATAAAATACAAAACAGGTCAAATAATACTGACACTACTAGAAACTTTCAAATCAGCTTAAAGTTACAAAAAAAAATTAGCACTGCAATAAACACTCTACAAACTTGAATTCTGCTGTTTTTTAAAAAGTGATGCAGTAAGTTACTGCAAAAAGAAAAACACTTTGGAAAGCAGTGACTCTCCCAAGCTAGACATAACAACTTCAAAATCTAAATGAACCTCTTCCCATTTTATGGGCTGCACTTAAGCCTTTTAATGCTTTATACTCAGGGCCTTGCTGTAGTATAACTAACATTACACTGACGGTGCCCTGCCATAATACAACCTGATACAAATAAAATTTTTTCCAGCTTATGCCAATAAAATGAGAATTAACCTGAACAGACACAACCTCAGGTTCTCTCAAAGCAGCAGGGTAATTGTGCCTAAACAAAAATAACAAGCCAGCCCAAGTTCGCACTTCCCTTTCAAAAAATTTCCATCACAAATTAACTTGAAAATTAATATTACTTAGTGCTTGATGCAATATGCCAGAAACTGTGCTAGGATTAAATTAAATGACATTTAGGCATTTTAGGTATAAAATGCCTAACTCTGTCATGATTATTCGCATTTAACAGTGCAAAAACCAGGGCTTAGATGAGTCGAATGGCCCACAGTCCCACACCTAGCTACGGTGGCAGCCCTGGGACTCAAACACAGGTCTTCCCAGTAAACTTGGTGTTTGTAACCTGGCTCTCTTGAATGGATCCTCGAAAACAGTGTTTATAGCTATGTGCATTTTCGCAGGAGCAGGTGGAGAGCTTACATTAGATTCTCAAAGAAGCCCACAAGCCCCACAAAAGTTAAAGAATAAAAAAAGAAAAAAAAACACAGAAAAAAGCGCACTGGACTTCAACGCCTCCCACCAAGACCATCACTTCTGTACTCCTGAGGAGGTAAAAACCCCACCGTGACAGCCGCACTTGAAAATTCTCAGAGCAAGTCAAGATTTCCACTCCTGGATAATTTCCAGCAACCCCTGCCACAGAGTAAGTCACACAATCAATTGCAAGACTGTATCCATTTACATCCAATTCTGAGATTTCACAAATACTGACCAATGTTATTTAGTCATCCCACTTTCCAAAACTGTTTCCATCAACCAATCCTCACTGCGCTGCCTGTGAAATAAGCTATCATTACATCCACTTCCGAGAAAGTAAAACACTGTCACCCTGAGGCCAGGCAATAAATCAGCTACAGAATCTGGATCAGAAGTGAGCAGTTCCCTCCTTCCCCTACCCAAGATAGGCAAGACCATGACATTTAACCCCAGGGCACCCTCTCCTAGCTACACAGAAAACGGTGGGCATTTTTTTCTACCAGCGCCAACGCTAGATCAGAATCTGCTAGTGAATCAATGAGTTAGGGCATACCCCCAGCTGTTCAAGGACAAGTGTGCTCCTCTTGAAAGTTGAGGCAGCTGTCACGTGCCTGGCATCTTCAAAACCAGACTTAACCACTGAGGGACCCTGGCATCTCTGTGGGAGGTGCGGCCCTCAGCTTAACTCCTGGCATTCTGTGCCTAGGATCAATCTGAACGTTCGATCCATCCTAAATTTCTGATTTAAAAAAAAAAAAGTATTTGTGGGGAAATGAACTTTATGTTAACTGGTTTAAAACCCTCATTTCTACAGATAAAACGGAATGTCAAGAATGCAACACCTTGCCCAAGGCCTCACAACTGAGGAGCAGAGACAGTACTAGAAAGTGGGCCTCCAGACACCTGTCCAGGATCCTTAGGGTGTCCTCCTGGGCGTTGGGAAATCAGCCACGGTTACTGCCAGAAGGTTGGCCATTGACCTGACAGCGTTTGCTCCCTCTCTGCCAGCTAGGACTTCACTCCACCACCTCGTGCCACCTGCACAATTTGGGTCCAGACTGAGGCCCCTGGGAGCCAAAGTCAGGACGGTGACCTTAACTCGCACAGTCTGAGGGACAAAGCCAGACTCGCTCCAGCTAACCCCACCGGAGAAGGGAGACAGGGCTCTGGCACGGAGCAATCAGTATCACAAGGAATCTATGTTAGGATGAGGTTTTATTTATAGCCCCGCCTGACCAAGACGACTTCCGCCCAAGCAACCTCCAAAGCAAACAACCTTAGAGATAACGAAGAACTCTGTGCGTCCCTAACCGCGCTCCGAAGGCGGAAGGGAGCCGAGGAAGGCAGTGAGAGCTCACCAAGTCCTACTTAGGCTCAGCGCGTCGGACGCGACCCGCAAGTTTTGCAAGAACATTCTCCCAAGACACCAGGGTGGACACAGCGCCCCTCCCCCCTCCATCCCCCCTCCCCCCCCCGCCACCCCCCAGGCAAACCCGAGGTTCTCCATCCAGTCGGGCAATGGGCGCGCACCGCATGCGGGGGACGGTCCGGATGCGGGGCGCGCGGGCGGGCCGGGGCACCCCTCCCTCCGGGGGCCCAGGGCGCGAGGGCGGGCCGGGGGACCCGGGGGCCCTGGGGCGCGGGGTCGGGGCACCCCTCTCTCCGGGGGCCCAGGGCGCGCGGGCGAGCAGGGGGACCCGGGAGACCTGGGGGCGCGGGGTCGGAGCACCCCTCTCTCCAGGGACCGAGGGCGCGCGGGTGGGCCGGGGGACCGGGGGGCGCGGGGTCGGGGCACCCCTCTCTCCGGGGGCCCAGGGCGCGCGGGCGAGCAGGGGGACCCGGGGTGCGGGGTCGGGCCGGGGGACCTGGGGTCCTGGGGGCGCGGGTCGGGGCACCCCTCCGCGCCCCCCGCCCATCCCCTCGGCCCGTCCGCTTGGCGGCAAGAAAGAGCTTAGCGGCGGGGACCCGCGAGGCGTGGAGCGCACGTCCCCTCGCCCCCCACGCCCCCCGGGCAGGTGCAGACAGCACCCGACGGCACGGCCCGGGGCGGCAGGGGCAGGCACCTGGGGTCCCCCCGCCGTGCCCCGGGGCGCCCTACAGCGGCCGCGCGGGCGCAGAGCCGGGGGTCCGGGCAGCGGGGTCAGCGGGGGAAGGCGGGGCCCACCTCCTCGTCCTGCTCCTCCTGGGACGCGCTGCTGCCCCGGGGCGCGGGCGGCGCGGCTGCTCCGGGCGGCGGCGGCGGCGGCGGCGGCGGGGGCGGCGCAGGGGCTCCAGGCTCCCGCCCCACGCGCGCCGGGGCCCACGCGGCGGGCGGCCGGGAGCCCGGGGCGCCACCCGGCGGCGGCGGCGGCGGCTCGCGGGAGAAGCGGCGCGGCTCCCCTTCCTCCGACGGAGTTTCGGAGCCCGAGGAGGACCCGGCCGAGGACGCGGCGGCCACCGCGGGGGCGGGGGCGGGGGCGCGGGCGCCGGGGGCGCTGCAGCCGCGAGGCACCGGCCCGGGCCCCGGCGCCTCCGAAACTTTCTCCCCCATGTCGCCCCCTCGGGCCCGAAGTGCGCGGCCGGGGTCCGGCGGGGACGCGCGCGCTCAGCGCCCCCGGGAGGAGCAGCGCGGCGCGGCTCCGGGCGGCGGCGGCGGCGGCGGCGGCGGCGGCGGCGGCGGCGGCTCCCGGGCTGCGGGGAGCCCCGCCGGCGACTACATGGCCCGGCCCCGGCGGCCGTCCGGGCTCCCGCGCGCAGGGACAGGCCGGCCGCGCCCCGACCCGCGAGCCCCGCGCGCTGCGCCCGCGCCACCGGGACTGCGGCTCCGCCAGCCGAGCCCGCCTCGGGGCCGGAGCGGGGCCGGCGGCGCAGACGGGCAGCCCCGGGAGCCAATGGCCGGGCAGGCGCGCCGGTGGGCGGAGGCTGCGGCGCCCCCGGCCGCCCGGGCGTCAGGTAGGGGGGCGGGGCCGGGGCGGGGGAGCGCGGGGGGCCCGGGGCCGGGGGGCGGGGCGGGGCGGGGGCGGGCCTGGGAGCCCGGGCCCTGGAGGAGACCCGGACTCCGCGTCGGGGGAGTGGGATCGCGGACGCGGACCAGAAGCCGCCGAGCTGGGACCTGAAGAGCGACCGCAGACACGGTCACGGCAACTCCGGCGTGTCGACTGCCTCTAAACGGACCTGAGACCCGCTCCCAGGCCTCCGCTGGAACTCCTCGGGCCTCAGGGTCCGCAACCGGACACGGACGCTGTCCAGTTAATGCCTGTCTTGTCGGGCTAAGATGCACACGCACATGCACACACCAGCCTCAGCAGAGCGCCGGGCTTGGAAGGAAGCATGGATAGTTTTGCGAGGACTGTTTTCTTTATTTCTGTTCATAAACGAAAAGTTGGAGTCAACGACTTGTACCTCTGAAAGGGAAGAAAGTAAATAAACGCCTCTCTGTTTAACGGGGAACAAGAGGATGCCCAGCGCTGGGCCCCGGGGTCCTAAACAAAGTGGAATTAGAAAAGGCTCGGGGTAAACTTTAGTTTATCTGATATAAGGATGGCACTGGATGGGATGAGCACTGGGTGTTTGTTATTCTATATGTTGGCAAATTGAACACCAATAAAAAATAAAAAGCTATCAAATAACCTGGAAAAAAAAAAAGAAGGAAAGAAAAGAAAAGGCTCAGGGGCCCTAACCATTGTGCGTCTCTCCACCTCAGCTAAGCAGAGCATGAAACATTTACATTTCCAGCTCACTTTCTCCTTGCCCTGGATTGTAAGCCGGCAGGATGCAAGACCAAGTGCTTCTTGTCCTTACCCCCAAAGAACCAGGAGAAACAACTTTGACCAAAGGCAGGAGAATCACCCCTGTAGAGCCCGCCCCTGTAGCTGGAGAATGCATCCTTCAGGGTAACCAGGTGGACTTGAATGTCTCGGTTTGGCAGCAGGAAATAAATGATTCCTCACTTGCCTTCAGCTCCAGCCCTATTCTGAGATCTGCCCCTGTGACCTAAGATATAAATTCAACCTGACTAAATTCTACAGACACTGAGATGTGGGCCAGGTGCTTGCAGGGGATACCAGGATGAGCGAGGCAGGTCCCCTGCCCTCGAGGAGCTTATGGTCAGACAAGCGAATGATGCTGCATAACATGGCTCCATTATTAATTTTTTTAAGCTGTGTCATGGGAGAAGCGGGGAGAGTTCTAGAAAAACAGTTAACAGGTCCTCAAGAATCTTAGATTTCTCTTTATCAGAACAGTTTTGCCAAAGGTCCTTAAGAACTGAAGGACTGGAGTTGAAAGCCCCTTCAGCTAATGAGCCCTTTCATGCTATCAGGGTATTTACAAGTGATACATCACACATAGTGCTTCATTATATTGGACAGCAAGCTTTGTCCTGACCAGTTCCCCCCACCTCACCCCAGGACGGAGGGGAAGGAAACATGGCATGAGCCTATTGCCACAGACAAGCATACTGCAAAGCGGGCTCTGGCTGTCAGGCTTGCATTGTGACACTTCAGGATTATCTGCAGGGATGTGAATACCTGCTGAGGCAAAAGGACAATTCCAGTGACTTGGCTAAGTTGTGACAGCAAGGCTGAAGAGAGAGCACAGTGGGGCAGTCAGAATCCAGCCCTGGGCCTCACAATTGCTTTTCTAGTCAGGACTATTGCTCTTTATCTGAACCCCTATGTGGTTGATTCGCCACAGCCAAAGTGAAATCGGGACTTAGGCAAACCATTCACATGAAAGAGAAGGAGAGGTTGCTTTTCAGTGCATCGGGAAAGAAGAGGCAATGACACGATCTGAATTACTAACAGGAGAAATGATGGTGGCGATTATTGCTTTGGCCCTAAGCGTTGCCTGTAGATGGTCTCACTTAACCCTGGCCACCAACCTTACATGCCAGACTCTGTTAGCCCCGCTCTGTAGATAAAGAAACTGAGGATCTGCAAGGTCAAATAACTTGCCAGAGGTCACACAGCAAATGAGTGACAGCACTGTGGTTTGAACCCACTGGTCTGCTTCCGAGGCACTGTTAAACATCCCAGTATGATGCTATTTCAGAACAGGCCACTTTTTCAAGTGCATATACCTGCTCCATCACAAATATCCATAAAGCAGGACTTTGTTGTCTTGATTCAGTATGTAAAAGAATATGAAAGGATCCTTGGACAACAGATTGTTTTTCCCACAAACATTTATAAGGCACTTACAATGTTTTTAAGCACTTTACAAATGTTAATTTTTGTGATCCTCGTTATCAACTCTATGAGGTAGCCATGATCATTATTCTCATATTCCACATGTGAAACGTGTGAAAACTGTGGCACAGAAAAGTTACATAATTTACCCAAAGTCCCACAGCTGGCAAGTGATGGGGCCAGGATTCAGATTTGAACGGTTTGGGCCAGGCATTCATGCTCTCAGCCTCTACCGATCAGAATCAGGTGCTAGATCAGTATTTAAGTTTTTAAACCTTAACCCTGCATGAGAAATATATTTTACAACTCATAACACACATAAATACAACTACAAATAAAATCCCATTAAATAATACTTACCCTGAGTTTCTATAAGCAACGCAGTCTGAAATTTTCGTATGTTTTGTTGAAAATAAAAATGCTAGTTGTGATCAGCTAAATATATTTTACACTCCACTCTGACACATGCAGTCGAAAGCAGTGTATCTAATCATCCCCAGAGCTGACCCACAAGGGAAATATGACTATGGTTCAGGCTGAGAGTTTCCAGACCAGAACTGGGCAAACTCAAAGCATGACTCTCTATATAAAGGGTGATCAGAAGGTCAGGCTAGTTCCCCAAAAATATCACAGCTAGACCTCTGGACAAATGCTGAGGTATGGCCAAACCACTGAAACAAAATCAGTTTTGATTTATCAAAATCCTGTGGTTCACCTTTCTTATCTGATAAATTATAATGATCTTCCTTCCAGTGTCAAGGGAAGTGCCCCACCAAAAGGACTTCTCATAAATGTCCGTAATGTTAGGTAGAAAAGTATGGCTTTTTTCCTGTATTGTCTCTGTAAGCAAGAGCCAGAAAAATAGCAATGACTTAGAGCTCTTGGGAAGCAATAAATAGTGTAGTTTCATCTGACAGAACCAGACCAGCCTACAGACAAGGGAGGACAAGGTAATCAGTGTCTATTCATTGTGTCACCCAAGGGCCTGGTTCAAGGACAAGCTCCCCTGGGCACTTGCGTAAGGGTTCATTGTGTTCAGTGTTTAAACACTTGCCTTAGTTTTCTATGTTGTTCTCCTAAGTAACAGGAGGCATTGCCTCTGGGAGTCTCTGTTGCCTCTGCCAGTCTCTGTTCTGTGGGTGAGGCCAAGTGTGAATGTCAAGCTCTGTCTCTCTGAGATGGAGGATGTTGGATGAAAAGTCATCACATCTTTAGTCCATTCCCATTGTTTTGACCTTCCTCCTAAGGATTTTAATAAAATTGAAATCAATTGTCCTTCCATCTTACCTACATGAAATCAGAGCATCATCAACTCCAAACATTCCTGCAAAATTAGAAGTAAATATGTTCCTATTTAATGCACTATCATATTTTTGGATTATGAAGATGGAGATTTTACACTTTTTGGCAGGTTTTGTTGTTGTTGTTGTTCTCATTATGGGTGATTTGCCTGCTCCCTCTTGATCAGTGAAATGCAGTTTCAGGACAAAGTGAACATCAATGAAAAGGAGATCACTGACATGGCCTGGACTGGGGTTTCTGATTTAAACCAAAAGGTATAGCATAATACAGCCCATGGCCCTTTCTGACCACCTAGCTAGGAGGAAAAGCTCCCATGGTTTCTCAGGCTTTTGTTTGCATCTAAAGCTCTAGGAAAGGATGGGCTACAGGACAGGGTTCCAGACGATAAGTAGAAGAATTTTTAAATGATGGTTGAAAAAGACAAGGGAGGAAGAGTAATAACGTTACTTGGCGGCTGTTGGAGTCTCTGACCCAGAGGTTGAGGAGGACAGGAAACTACGCTATGTTAGCAAATCAAAATAAGCCTGCAGCAGACCAAAGGGAAGGATGCTGCCGATCTGATCTCTTAGATCAATGTTTCTCAGTGAGTCACGTGTGAAACACTTGCATCAGATCAGGACACAAACACAACAACAAAGATGCTGGTTCCCTGGCCCCACTCAACATCTGGGAATCAGAATTTTTTAAGCTCCATTCCAAAGGAGTGTCAGGTATAGGAAAGCTTGAGGATTACTGAAGATGTTCCCAATTTGTAGATCAAAGAGCCATTTTATGGGGCAAATGTGCTTGGCTCAGTAAAAGGTGACTAGAAAGAGCCTGACAGCAAGTGCGTCCCTTAGGACCACTTTGTTCCTATTCTCTTGGAGTGCAACCACCTTTGGGAGACCAAGGCAACTGAGCAGCTGGACAGGAGCATGCATATTCTGAAAACAGCTGGAAAAACTGAGCTAATACACAAAAAGAATCGAGGATGTTGTTCCCTCAAGGATTCTTTTTAAACAAAATTCAAAATGGTGACCTATTTCTCACAGAAGACTCCAATCTTTTACATTTGTCTTTC